CCTTTGCTTAACTTATTTCTATGGAAAACTATGTGATTTATATTTATTTTCAATCACATAATCTGATTTTCATCTTACTAATACGTATGGTTTTTCTTATGTGATGGTTATTATAGTTTTTATATAGTTTTTTCAACACACAGTTGTCCTTATAAGTAGAAAATAATAATATAGTTGATGTTTACTGAGTGCCTAAAACTTTACTAAGTACTTTGTTTATATTTGTTTTATCTAATCCTCACAATAACAATAAGTCAACTAATAAGTTAACAATAAGTTAACTCCTAATATTACAGTCACAGTGCAAGTAAGAAAGCTATGGCCTGCAGTACTTAAATAGCATTATGCTCTCTTAAATTACAGAGCTAGGTCTCAAATTTGTTCATCTGCCCTGATGGGCTTTGTTGATTCATTTTATTTTTAGATGTTTTTGATGTTAATAGTTTTTATTTTTTTTAACTACAACGATTCCATAAACTGCAATCAGCACAGAATTACTTCCAACAGGTATAACATATTATTAATAAAATAACATTTTATATTCCTAATTTGCACTTCAAGATTACATTGCATTCTGAATCTGGATCTGAAATAGCTGTGGAAAACTGAACATCCTACCCTCTGTTTATAATTCTGCCTCAACAAATTCTTTTACTACTTTCACCATAATTTTCCTTCTCCTGACTTCACATTGTAAAAGATACATCTCCATAAAAGGGGAAAACACCATTTTCTCCACGCCACTTAACTATGGTCAGAACTGAACGGCAAGGTCAAGCTATATAACATGGAAGACAGGTGGACTCTGGGACACACAAAGAGAAGAGGGACACACAGAAGAAAGACACATGGAGAGGGGGTCACATGCTTCTCCACTTTGAAATTGCAACAGGGACCTGGGGGAATATGGAGGAGAGAAATGTGGAGAAACTTGAAAGACACATGTGGGTAAGAGAGATGTAAGGAGAATGAAAATGGCAGCCAGGATCTTCATTTGTACTTTGCTTTTGCTCTTTTCGTCCCAGATTTACCTGGTGCCTTTCATCCCATTCCTATTGTTCCCTGCAAAAAGGTGCCTTGTGACCAGCTTTTGGGCCTCAGCAGCCCCCACTTCAGTTTAACCCTATTAATATTTGGCTGGACATTTGCCCATGAGAGGATGGATAACTTTTGGTGTTTTATTGGGAAACTATTATCCTTTTTTCAGTTATCTCTCTATGCACATTAATTCTAATAAAGTTCTGTCTTTGTGCATATAGATGGTGATGGATCCTATTAGAACATGCTTGTTTAGGAGGCATGGAGTTCCCGTCTTTCTGTGTCCTAATATCAGTGTAGATTAATTCTCTTATTATATTGTCACAATTGCATTACATATTGTGACACTAATCACAGTTGTATTTTCTTGTTTAACATTTGTTTTCTTTAAGTTTCTCAAAGCTCCAGGAGAGTGGAGAAAGTATCTATTACTATCAATGTTTTGCATATAACTCAATAAATATTGGATCAATGAAAGAATGAAAGTATCTTAAAGACAAAACTTATTTTCTTTGGAGTTGTTACCATCTTGAACAAAAAACAGAAAAGCCAACTTGGATAAATAAGTGTTTATGATAAATTTTCACCCTTTTAAAATGTGCCTTCCAATACATTTCTGTAGTCATCTCCACTATACTTCAAAGCACTAGTCACTTGAAATATCCACTAATTTTCAAAATGTCAGTTTTACTATCATACCCACCATTCTTTGTCCAGTGTCACAAGAATAAATTACAATATTTGTCAAAAAAGAAAAACTCAAAACTTGGTCAAAACAAATTGAATAGAAAATTTAGAAAAAGTTAGAATCCTTTTTCATAATAAAAGAAGTATCAGATATAATTATGAAGATGCATTTAGTTAGTAAAAATTTATAGGTATAATTTAATACTAAGGAGTATAAACTTTTTTCAATTTGTACCACTATTATATCCTGTTAAGCAACATACTAAATTTTATGATCTTATCTACTGATATTGCAAGCTGGAATTCATTTCATTTGTCTAAAAATAACTTTTCCAATAATATGATTTACAGAGGGGAATATGTAGGAACATACTATGCCCATTAAATAAATGATCAAGCAATTGTACGTTCTGAATCCATGATTTTGTTGTGTTGTAGTCAGTCTATTGTAGGTATTGAAATTGGAATCTCACTTTGATAGCTAGTCAGCTGACAAAAACCAAATTAAAATGCACAGAAGAATCAGGGATTACTTTGAATTGAAACACAAAGAGATTTAATTCTTAATAGAATAGCAACATTAACTGGTGATATAGAGAACATTGTTCAGTAGGAGTGAATCTTTAAAAGGAAAGTCATCACAGATTTGCCCTAAGGAGCTATAAAAATACATTATAATAACAAGTGAAATGGAATAGACACAGTTATTTGAATTTCTCTCATTTCACGTTTTAAGGTAGTTGTATAAATTTCTCATGAATTGCCTCAATCAAGTGTTCATTTGTTTATGACATTAAATTTACTGTTTATCATAAATAAATGTGATGGAACCACTAAGTGATATTGTATAAGACCTGAAACCATTAAATAATACATTGAGGAAAGCACAGGTAATAAGTTCTTCAACATCAACATTACCGAAGTCTTTGTCCTTGTCTTTCCTCTCCAACATCAAGGGAAACAAAAGCAAAAGTACATAAATAGGGCTAAGTCAAATTGAAAAGTTTCTGCACAGCAAATGAAACCATCACCAAAACCTAATGAATGGGAGGTTTATAAATTACCATTGTTGCTTTTCAATTAAACTGCTTCTCAAAGTGGGCAACTCTACATAACATACTTTGAGCTGAGAGATATTAGATATTATTCATTTATTTAAATATCATTAATGAATTATTAGCAAGTCAGTGGATACTTTTATTAATATAATTAAAAAATTGGGCCTTCCCTGGTGGCACAGAGATTGAGCGCTGGGTTGTGAAGCTGCCTGCAGCCTCTGCAGCGCGGGTTCGATCCCCGGCTGCCGGCTAGAGTCCCACATGGTGTGCAGACCTCTCCTGCCACCCGCTGTTCCCCTCAGCAGTGTACTTTGGTCCTTCTGCCTGTTCTGCTCCCTGCTCTGGTTCTGGTGAATTCTCTCACCCTCCCGCGCTTCTGACTGTACCCAGTGCTTGTATAAATAAATATTTTAAAATATATATATAATTAAAAAATTATATTGTATTATTATAAACTATATTAATTAAATACAAACTAATCTTCCAGTGATATTATTTGATACTTCCATCTAATTTTAAAATTGAATATAAGAAAATTAAAAAAAAAAAATCACCATTTAGAAAATAGTTACTCTTTGAGTCAGCTGGAGTTGAGGGAAGGGTGAATGCATGGAATAATACTGATCTTTGATTTAGGAAAAAAAAATCTTAATTTTCATGTTTGGAAAAAGGCAAAACTCATCAACTTCACCCAGTTGGGAGAGCAGAGAAACAGGTAGGTTATTCTGGATAATAAAGAATTACATAATATACAGCTATTTTAAAAGTTATCTTGCTACTAGGAAGCACTACAGTGGTGATAAACAAAGGCTGAATACCCTGGATGTACAGAAAAGTAGAGAAGCAGAAAGGGTGGAATAAGAAAGGGAGTGAGAGAGATACATACACACCATCTTATATCTGATCAGGATTATCAGGAAAATTTTAGGACAGTGAAGGCTTGTTTAATCTTCAACTACTCAAGGGCCTCCCTGGTGGTGCAGGTGGCTGAGTGCAGCACTGCGAAGCTGTCTGCAGCCTCTGCAGTGCAGGTTCAATCCCAGCCGGCTGGCGAGATACCCACATGGCACGGCAGACCTCTCATGACTCACCCCCTGCTCCCCTCAGCAGTGTATTTCGTCAATCTGCCTGTTCTGCTCCCCACTCTGTCTCTGGTGAGTCCTCTCACCCTCCCACACATCTGGCCTATACCCTGGTTCTTGAATAAATAAATAAATCTTTAAAAAAAAAATCTTCAACTACTCTGGATTATGCAATAATCTTCTTTGGTTATCCTTTGTATTGTTTTTTTTTTTTTTTGTGAGAATGAAGGAAATTAATACAAATAAGTAGCAGAGTAGGGAGTTGAGAGAGGGCAGCAGCTTCCTTATCTCATGTCAGATGATTGTGAGAACAGGAATTCAGAGCCAGAGTGAACAAAAGCATCCCAAAAAGTCTCTAAACATTTAAGGAAGGCTTGACTTCCCTTTCCACATCAGATGGGGCTCAAGCCTTCCAATTTAGGTACTGAATCAGTACCTAAATGATGACTGATGACTAGGAAGAACTGTCTGGAGATAAATGTTAGGAACTATCCAAATATAACACATTTGCAATCACTTTCACATCATAACTTCTACTAAAAAACAGTGTTAAGTCCCTGAGAGGAAGTCACATACTGAAACTGGTAATATATGCACTTATTCAAAATATGAAATCAGTTATGATAGATTAACAAATATGCCATTCTTATAAATGTTCACATTGAGCAAGTGAAAAATGTACACTAAATGTACACTAAAGCTCCATCTTATTGACACAAAACAATGTATTTTGTAAACTTTTCAATGATATACTCAATAATACTATGGTATATTGTATATTCCAAGCCAAATAGAATTCATTGTAATAGAGTATTCGTTAACTTGGGTTTCACAGACAAGGAATAATGTTATTTGAAGATTTGACTGAACAAAGAAGATGCTTTTCAAGCCTCTCTAAAATTGCTATGGCAACAGACTATATCACCACTGAAAAAAGTTTTAAGTCAAGGAGAAAGACCTTAAAAGAAACAACCCTGCTGACACTTGGATCTGAGAATTCTAGCCTCCAGAACTGCGAGTCACAATTATTTAAGCCAAGTTATTTAACCATAGATCTTTGGTACTTATACAACCGCCATAACTAATATAGTCATAGTAGAGTTGTGTAGGTCATAGTAAAGTAGATGAGCTCATGTGAGACAGTTGTCAAAACAGAATGTTCTCAAATTTTAACACTAGCTTAGATAGGTTAATTCAATGAAGAACCTCTTGAATCAGAGAAAAATCAAGGTATGCTTGCAAAAGTCAACCATCAGATCATAGTTCTGCCATATATTTATGTGTATGCCATGTGAATACAATGTTTAATAAGTTCTTTTAAGGAATGAGTTAGAAGAGGAGGGGAATGAGCAATATAATTAGGAAATTATGTGGATAATTCTACTTGGGTTTATAGAAAATGATCAAATCACAGTTCAGAAGGTTTACTCTTTTAATTTCTAAATAGTCAATATGCAATCTTTCACATTATAGATTTTTTGACCTAATACTAATTTTAATAATACTAATTTTCCTAAGAAAAATAATTCAACTTGCCAATCATTAAAACACATGAATCTAACATAGCCATTTTTCTAAAAGACTGGTAAGTAAAGGTTATGGGTAGTGTGTTTATGTACCATTGGCTGCAACAGGTTATTGATTCAGATTTATTTACAGTAACTTTGACTTTTTATATCTAACAGAACAGAGTTCACAGGCCCTTGAAAATATAGGGGAACTACACTCATTAAGTTAAGATAGATGTTTATATCTTAGTAGTATGTCCATATACATAAATGAAAAAAGATTTATATTGCATATCTCAATAGTACTTACACAGCATTAAACCAATAGAAAATTAACTTGAAATCAGGCTGAAAGTTTAAAATAGGACAATCTGTAGCATTCAAAGTACAACTGACTATCACAGTAAATTTATACATTGATTTGGTAAGCAAAAGGCAGAATGACAAGTATTATTATAGATAATTTTTATAAAAAAAGGTAGAAAAATATTTGCAGAGACCTTTCAAATGTAATTTTGATGGAGTGTCCAGGTTCAGCTTCAATCACCCACTCACAATTCAAAGAGTCTTTATAGTATCCTGGCCATCCTGGTGAAAGAATCAATCCACTGGGAGCTGAAAAATGGCCACCACATGGGGCTGAAAATGAAATCAGAAAAAAAATAAGCAGCAAAATTTCAGAATAAGTAGGAGAAATTATATTTAGTATGAACTGTATATATATATTTAAAATGTATCTGTGTGTGATGGAGCAGACCCAGCGCAGACAGAGTCAAACTCTACCTCCCAACATCTGGCATGGCCCAAGCTGGACTGGAAGGATGTGCCTGACAGTGTATTGGCCTGAACTCCACCCTTACATCCTTACATCCCAGGCAAGGGGCATGCTGTGAACCTATAAACAAGGTGCAATGTGCTGATTTCCTCTCTCCCTTATTGGACTGCAGCAGAAGGAGCCTGGGACCTCAGCAGTGGTTTGTCTCTGCCACATTCCAGTGCTTTCTGTAGCTACAAATCTACCTCACACCACTGGTGGCACTATTAATTCATAATTAGACCTCCCTCCCCCATACCCTGCTGATTAGAACAGACTGTTTCTTTTCTTTTTCCTGCACCCAAGGCCCTTTTGTTTGCATTTGTGCCAGGCAGGTTGCTAGACATAGAATTGGTGAGGATTCTTACCCTGTGGCAATTTTTAGACCCTTTCCCCATAATGTGTGCTTATGAGATGCTAGTTAATTATGTTTTTGAAAGTAAAATTGTGTCTAATACTTCTATTACTAATGGAGTTTCTTTAAAAAAGTAATTTACTTTTAGAAATATGGCAAAACTACTTGTTTAGCATGTCAGATAAACTGATTATCCTCAAGTCTTCCAAAAACATTCCTTAAATATATTCATGTATCTCTATCTTCATCTTCAAAGCTCAAAAAAATTAAGTTGCTTGGGCCTCCCCTGGTGGCACAGGTGGTTGAGCGCAGCTCTGTGAAGCTGTCCACAGCCTCAGCAGCACCGGTTCAATCCCAGCCGGCCAGCGAGAGTCCCACATGGCGCAGCAGACCTCTCCTGTCTCAGCCACTGCTCCCATCAGCAGTGTATTTCGTCAGTCTGCCTGTTCTGTTCCCCACTCTGTCTCTGGTGAATCCTCTCACCCTCCCTCACATCTGGCCTATACCCTGGTTCTTGTATAAAAATAAATAAATCTTTAAAAAAAATTAAGTTGCTAGTTTTAGTTTCTTTCCTTTTCATTTTCTAATTCATGCTATTAGATACCACTAATTCATGCTATACATTGTCATAGACACTGATCTTTTTTCCAGAGTCCCTGCTACCATTTAGGTTTACATTGATTCAGCCTCTTTCCTAAAAGCCTCTTTCCACCTGCTTAATTTTTCACTTAGTTTAAGTTCACCTTTCGGAATAATATCCTTCAAATTTTAGTTTCATCATACTATTCCTTTCTCTTTAACATCTGATTAATAGCCTTGTGTTATTATTTCAAATATTTAATCGTCAGCTTTTCCCTAATTTTAAACCACAATGATAGCATTTTAAGTAGGCACAGATTTGGTCTTTTATTGTGAACACCTCATTTTGGAGATAAACCAAATTCAGAGAAGAGCATTTTGCCAAAGTCACAGGGTTTAAAAGTCTCAAAGTTAATTTGTAACTCACAGGAGTTCAAAACTGATTCTCTCCCATTTTGTCCTGTATTAGTAAGTGAAACCACCATCTACTGAATTAAATAAGCCAGAAAACCAGAAGTAGTCATCCTTTCTATTTCCATTATCTTTACCCATTTACCAGTGTTTCTCTAGTTGTATGGCTGCCATTTTAGTTTTAATTACCATAACCTCATCCATAGAGTAAACCCTCCTAAAAGACCCTCCTAACTAACCTACAAATCTGACCAAGTCCTTCAGAAATTTCCATCTATGGTGTCCAGTAAGACTACTCTAACTACTAGCTAGAGTTATTCTCTAGCCTATAGTCTGAACTTCCCTTCACTCTGCAGTCCCCCTGCATTAGCCTACATCATATATTCAGGAAGTTCACAGGAAAATAGATGGAACAAACAGCAATTATGATATTGAAAATTATTAGGAGTGAAAAAGTTCAAATACAAACTGTGAAAGGATTTTAATTTTAAATGGAACTGAAAGGGGAGCAGAGTTTGCCAACCCAAAATATGCTTCTTTGGCATAAGGATTATTTTAGTCTGCTTATTTTTAAGAAATAGAAAGCACAGGAAAAACTCTGAAAATGAAGTACAAATTACCCTTTTGTAAGAGATGCTTACACTTATAAGGGAAGCTCTACTTATAACAGTGTCTTAATCTCTGTACAGGAAAAGAAGGATGACTAAATCTCTAAAAATTCTTGTCAAAGGAGAAGACAGTTTTAAGAACTTAAACATGCATAATAACTATCAAAAATAGAAAGAAAGAAAAAACAGGCTAAAATATGGAGCAATTCTAGCAGCACCCAAACTTAACACCTAACATAATTGCAGATTTAACCTCTCCCAGAAGTACAATATTATACCAATCAATTTGGAGTTTCCCCATCAACACTAGTGAGGTAATCTGCATGATAAGATCTCCCTGTCTTCCCTTGATGGAAGGTGGCTTTGTCTGAAATAATCTCCTTTATCTGAGAACTTTGTCCCACCCTTTTTCTGATTATGAATACATTAGTGCAAGCCCCTTAGAGTGTCTCTCTACTTGCTAGATGGGATTTATGAGTTCTTTAATACAACCAAATAGAAAAGTAAGTTTATTTTGAACTTTTTTTTTTTTTTTTTTTTTTGCTTTTTAACACAACCATACTCTCATTTACTGTGATCTTGTAACTGTATAATCTGAAAAGGGAGATTCCATGTTTCCTGCCCTACCTACAGAGGGGTGGAGCTGAACATTGAGGAAAAACTAAAAAGGACAAGAGAGAGGAGACTTGCAGAAGACAGGAAAGGTATGTGGAGTAGAGAGAGCTGTGAAGAAGGTGCACTTGCTTCTCAGCCATGGACTTGTACCGGGCCCTTGGGGGACATGGAAGGAGACACTTGGTAGAGATGTGGGTAAGAGACCTGTGGCAAGGTTAACAATGGCAGCATTCATCTTGACTTATATGTTGATTTTGCTCTTTTCCTTCCAGACTTGCCTGGCCCCTTCTGCCCCTTCCATAGGTTTTTATTGCTGTCAGCCTATAGATGACACTGACAAAATCTAGGCTCTGTACCTCTAAGATACTCCTGGGTAATCAATCTTTCAGGTTCTGGGATAAAAGATGACTTTGTTTGTGAAATACAGGTTGTTACCTCTGATTCCCCCTTTCTTTAGCAATGTAAACAGAGTATAAATGATAAACTTAAAGTAAACATCATTCACTTATCTACTGTCCTAAAGCCTGAAGAAAGTTTGTCATATATAATGCCTTTTGAAATGCTGGCTAATTTATGTGTTATTTTAAGTAGAATGGGCAAATTCAAAATATAAAGAATGTTAAAGTCAGACTATATTCAGCTAGAATTATCTTGAATAAATATTCAAAGGAATTCTATTATTCCACAGCAGGAAATGCTCTTTCACCTGCAAAGTGGCACTTGGATGATAGAAGAGAGATGAGGACTGGAGGAGCTGAGTTTTTTGATCACAGTGATTTGGCAATAAGTGAATTAAAGAGGTGAACATTCTAACACTTGGTCTGATAGCCTGTCTGTGGAGCTATGCATGATGAAATCTAGATACCACATTAGGGATTATCAAACAGTGAGGCTTCCATTTATTCCCCTTGCTTTGTTTTTGGTTTTTTTGTTTGTTTGTTTTTTCCAAATTCACTTTTTTGTTTTAGTTGTAGTAAGTAATCACTCCAACCTAGTTATTTGCATGATGGTTCAAAGAAACTTAAAGGAAACCAAGTTGCATTGCTATGATTTAAAAAATTTGAATCCAGAAGCATGTGAATTAAAGAGTCAGGACTTTAGAGAAGCAATTACAGCTCTGCACATCCTTCCATTTCCATAGCTCCATCTTCCCTCTCCCCTTACCAAATTCCTAGCAGATTGTAAATAAATTATTTTTTTTGATGGCATTCCTCAAGGAGACTTGGAAGTTAATACCATCCAAATATAGATTAAAAGAGGTGTTTATTTTCAGATATAAATATGTGTATGTGAGTGAACACATACTCTTTATGAGAACCAAGAATAAATTTTGATCTATGCATCAAATTGTTATTCTAATTGCTCCCTCAAAAGAATTCTCTGGAGAGACTATATCAGTGAATGAAAGGGTTTCTTTCCCTTCCTTTCCAATTGAGGGTAATAAAGATTCTAGAGAAAACCCCTTATCAAAAGGAAAATTCCTCTGAAATGCAATCCCAGCCTTCCCGCCCTGCTTCCCAATAGTTCTCCAGGGACTTCAATCACATTTTTGTCTTTCAAGGAATTCTTGCAGATATCCCATTAGGAAGTAGGCAGAAGCTTAAACCATATGCAGGGTGTCCTCTGCTGAGGGAAAGAAAGTTCTTCTTAAGAAGGCATTTTATGGAACATTGTGAAGTTGCTAGAACAAAATCAGAGAGTGGTTTCTTTCTTCTTTTCTTTCTAATTACTGTCTTTAAGCACACACTGCCAGATCTCTCTCGCTTTAAAGAAAATTGGGCAAATCCTCTAGCTTTCTTATTACTTTCAGTATTTAGAAACTTGGTCCAGTCCATTTTAAAACTCTTATCATACCCCCTCCACGTGCCAAAGTGCATCTTTCACAGGGGGTGAGAGACTTGGAACTTGGAGGGGTTAGGGGCAGTTGAGTAAGGAACAGCATTTGCCAATTCAATCCTCCCATCATATTAGCACCAATAGAGAAGATAGTATCTTCCTAGTCTCATCTGAAACTGTAACAGGGTGGTCCTCTCCCTGTCCTATAACAAAACCTTTCCTGTTCCTTCTAGGTCCTCCTTGTGGTGTGTTAGGACTAGGACAAAGCTGATTAGGCTGTCATAATCCTCTCCTGGCTGTTGCTGTTTCCCTCCATCTGACTGATCACTGATGCCTTCCATTTGTCACATATAAAAAATGTTTATTCTTCTGTCAGGAGAATGAGTTCTGTGGAAAGATTAAAAGTGGGGACTGGTGGCTTCTCACTGCATAATCTCCTGATATATAAATTCAACCTTTTCTAGTAACCTTCCTGCTCTCACTCCTGGCAATAGATCCTATGTTTGCCTCAAGTTGTTTGGTTTCCTAATCATTTATCACGGTGCCTTATTTGGTATCCATTTGATACACAGGAAATTCACATTACTGACTTGCCAAGTGTTCGAAACAGACATTTTTTTTTTTCTTTCTACAATCTGCCAGTTTTCCCTTACTTTCTTTCTCTTGCATAAATAGACATAGAAGGCAGCGCAGCAGGGATCTACTCTAGTTCCTCATTTGCATAAGCAACTCTGTTCTCTGGGAGATATAGTTTTAGAGCTCTTCTCCCCAACTTCATTTGAAGGGAAGAAGACTAGTATCCTTCTTCCCAAAGTGAGATAGGCACATGGAAAGCTGAACAACTCATGATTCCATCAGTTACAAATTCATAGACAGACAGAAGGATGGAGAGATAGGTAGATAGATCTATAGTTACAGATCTCCTTTGCTTTCCTTTTGTTATACATACATGTATAAGTTGGGACTGGGGAAACTGAGATCATGATTGAGACACATAAGTCTATAAGAGGCCACTTAATAGTCATGGAGAGGACTTTTTTTTAGATTTATTTTATTTATCTATGCATTTATAAGAGCAGGGGTGTGGGCCAGAGGTGTGTGTGTGGTGGGGAGGGGGCAGGGTGAGACGATTCACCAGAGACAGAATGGGGAGAACAGGCAGAAGTAATGAAATACACTGCTGAGGGGAGCAGCAGGCGAGACAGGAGAGGTCTGCTGCACCATGTACCATGTAACCCCTTGTACCACCAGAGAGGCCTGAGAGGACATTTTTTCATAGATGGAAATATTGACACTTTTTCCTCCTTAGCTGTGTTGGGGGTAGGGATGGGGGACCCCTAACTTGCCAATTCTAAAGCAACAGGCAAATTGGTCTCTATACTATACTAGACATGCATTTTATTTTTTTTTCTCCTGTCAGGAAGGCCACAATGATAACAATATTTCAAATTATTATGAGTCCCTCAAGGAAGGAACAACTTTTCTATCATTTAGTCTAATTCAGTGTCTTAATTAAATCAACAACTTTGAGCCAATTGCATTTATCTGACTTTTCTAATGTATTTCATTAGATGTAATCCTTTTGATCTATTAAGCAGTCCAGAGAATGTATTACACTCTAATTATATTCAAGAACATAACCATGTAATCCTGAAGGTCAATATTCCATTTCCTTTTTTATTGAAGGGATTGCTTTAGATCAAAGAGGGCACTGCTAGCTACAATGTAGAGTGCATGGGAGGCAAAGTGCCAGGTAAAAGGGAGAGAACCAGATAGTATATATGCATCATAGCCTTCTGAGGTCCAGAGAAGAAATAACAGTAAAGCACTAATGTGTGGGCACAGGTGAACCTATTATAGAGCAGCCCTGATACAAAACGGAGTGCCTGACTGTGGGTCCTCACCCGCGCGCTTAAAAGGACTTATCAATGCTCTGCTGCAGGCACACGCGAATGATTAATAAAAGGTTTATTTACAAGGGAAGGGGAAATGAGGAAACGTACAGGGAGAAAAGTGGGAGACAAAGTTTTAAATGAGTCCTACCCAATCCGCTGATCTGGAATCCCAAATGGCACTCTGAGAGCTGGCTGCAGCCAGGAGCCGTGAAGCCAGGAGGCGAGCAACAGTGAGCCACCCCAAGGCCCACGTGTTTGATTTGTATACCCAACCTGGCTGCTTAACTCCACCCTCAGGTCCCAGCCACCTTCCCTTTGGTGGTGATGGGATTTGTCTTTCCCAATGTCTTGATGGCTTTAGTCTGGACTGGGAGTGGAATCCACAAAGCCTGTATGGGATTAACTCAGGACATCATTTCCCCCTAACAAACTGACAATAAACCATTTCTACAGAACTGAATAAAAGCAAGGGTGAAAGCTCTGAGAACAGTAAAGAGATTACTGCAGTGGTCTAAGACAGAGATGATAGTGCTGAGCTAGGAAATCAGCAATGGAGGTAATAAATATATGGCTTTTGAATATTATCCAAAGATAAAGCTAATTTTTTTTCCTGATGGTTTGTGTATAGTTGTAATAGAAAAAAAAAATAAATTTTCTGAACAGTTTGGCCTGAATTAGTGGAAGAATGAAGTGTTATTAATGATGATGGGGAAAGTCTGTGACAGCAGTTGGTTTGGAGTGATAGGTGGGGTATCAGTCAGTTTTGGACAGGTTAAATTTGAGTTTCCTAGTAAACATCTAAGTGAAATATTGAGTAGAAAGTTTAATATATGAGCTTAGACTTCAGGGCAGAAAACCGAGTTGCAGATGCAAGTGGGAGAGACATAAGCACATAGTGTTATTTATTTAAAGTTGTATAGTGGATGAAAAATGCCATTATAATGAGGGGAAGTAGAAGTAAGAAAATAGACTTAGGCTGAAACACCCACTGAGATCACAGATATGAGAAAAAATCAGGAAGAGAAACTGAAATGAATTTCAGTGTATTTACTAAAATGAATTTTAATAAATAATACAATTATTAGACTTGTGTAACTTATTTTTCCACGAACAGTCAAGTAATTTTTAACATTAAACTACTAAGGTAAATTTGATTTTAAAAAGTAAGTGGCATGCATTTCATATTTTATAACAAAAAAATGAATACATTTTAACCAAACTCTCATCATTGGTCTGCAAATAAATCTTCTCATATTTTAGTATCTATGAGTACAGTTTAATGACATTTCTTTCTTTTTTTTTTAATGACATTTACCAATGAATACTAAATCCTCATACCAGAAACAGTTTTCTTCTGTGACTGCAACAGAGAAAGGAGACTTAATTTATGGCCAACTGCCTTGCTTTTATAAGACAGAAAACTTCAGATGACTTAGCACTCACTGACTGACACCTAGGGGAAAAAAAAAAAAAAAAAACTTTCTTGTTTTATTTTAAGTCTCCTAGCATGGCATCTCTTTCAAGTTCTTTTGGGATTCATTGACTGGTTTATTACTGACAAATACAGACTCTGGCATTTGTAAAGTAGAAATGCAACTCAGAGAATAGCTAGTAAAGATATGTCAAATACTTGACTTTTGTCTTTTTAAAACCAATGCATACATGTTTTCTAATGAGGGGGAGAATTATATTCACTGAGCTCCAGGGAGACTGAATGTCAACAGAAGACCATTAGAATGGAAAGAACTAATCTTTCCTAGGGCAGATTACAGTGGAATAAGTGAGTCATGTCAACTTGAGAGTTAATTATGAAGGAGAGGGGTGAATTCACGTGTGCCAGTGTTTGGGTTTAGGGAAGAGAATAGGAAAGTAGAAAATGAGAAAATAGCTTAGTGATGGCAAGACTATGTGTGTAAGTTTGAAGGAAGCGAGAAAGATGATGATGATGATGATGATGATGATTCTCACACATAACAATAAACTTAGGTGGGAGGTTTGGGGAAGAGATGGTTTAGTAAGATATTTGGAAAGTTCGCATCACAACTTTAAAGAAAAACAAAATAAAA